TAGCTAGAAGTGATCTTTCGATCGTATATTGGTTTGCCCAATCACTGTCTCTGAAGCCAACAAGCTTGCAATCAGAATAGAGACTGGCTTGCATTGGTTTGTGTAGAACTTTTTCAGGAGATCTTCAATGTACTACTCATGAGATAGAAAAATTCTTCTTGAGCTTTGCTTTATTTGAATTTCTAGAAAATATTTAATGAGGCCAAGCATGCCAACTTGAAATCTATCATCATCTTCTTGAATCCATCTACCATGCATTTGTTTGTGCCGGTTAGATAAGAACATCTACATGAAAGTATAAGAGTACCTCCAAAAAACTCTCTAAACACAAAATACTTTTTATTTTTGACGTAGCACAAAACAAGGCATTCAAGTGAAAACCTTAAGAACGCTAAAATTGGAATCCAGCAGAGAATGAAAAATTAAACTCACGATGAAAATTAAACTCACGAAATTTTATTAATTTCAAAACGCTTCAAAAACGAAGAATTAACAATTTATTTATAAGAGTTTACATAAAAACTTAGTCTAAAATGCTTAAAATTGAAATAAACTAAATGACAAAAATAGTACTAAAACTTTAAAAGCATGTTTCGAGTCCTAAACGAATTCGGATGGCTAAAATCATCATATAACATAGCTAAAAGTTCAATCCGGCTTGTCGTTCTCTTTTCGAAAAGATATATATTATGGGTCCAAATCGAAGCTCGAACACCAAATCAGCACTTTTCATTTTTTCCTCTTCGATCTAACTATTCTTTAATTCATTCAGCCATCTATTATACATCAATTTTAGAGAGCCAATGCTTAAAATTGAGTTCCAAAAGATTTTCTATTTTAACTTTTTAAAATAGAGAGAGCGTATTTGGCTCTTCGAATTTAGATAATCAAACTCACTCTCTATTTTTAATGTACATTGATTGCATTTAATAAATTAAATATTCCAATACTCTATCTCTTAAACTATTCAAAGCACATTAAATTAAATGGTCAATTGACATGTAAAAAAATTATGTTAAATAAAATATAAAGAGAAGTTAATAATTTTTCTTGAGAAAAGTAAAATGAAGAGTCAAAATAGAGAGTTTGTTAGGGAGTATAAAAATTTGATTTTGAAACGTTCAATCTTCTCGACGAACTTCATATTGAATTTCCCCATTTTGAAATGTTGATTTTAGTTCCATTTCAATTCTTGCAATTGAAGCGAATGTCTCTGCTCTGCATTTTTGAATTGACTTATCTTCATTATTAGTTTTTCTACCTTTTTGACAAGTCAACATGCTCCCAAAGTTTCGTTTTTTCTCAATGGTGGACATATCTTCATTCATTGGTTTTTTCCTAACTCTTATGTTTCAAGGTTTCTTCAAATGATTTGAGGTTCACATGAGAGAAATTCGAGGTCGCGTGAATCATAGGTTTCTCTTATTTTGGATGATTTTCCAAACTTAAAAAGACCCTAATATATTTAGTTCCTCTCTTCTTCTTTTTTTCAATAAACTCGGTGATGTATTTTGATTTTAATTTAATTTTTTTACGTACGATAATTTGTGTCTTAATTTATTCGAAAATGCTACAAGTTCACAAGCGCCTGCCAGGTTTCACACATGGGAAGGAGGAGGCACATTTTTTTTTTTTTAATACAATTGGGTGGGGCTCGCCGCTACAGTGAAGCACCTGTAAGGCCTTGTGAAAAAAATGCCCTATACGCAGGGCATAATCCTAATTTATTAATTAGGACAAATGATGTAGCTTTAATTAGAATCCTTGATTTGTGTTTATTATAGACTTTAATTTTATTGATATCGTATATTTCTTTATTATTGTGATGATTGAAATTAATTACATTATTAATTTATTTGTGATTGGTAACGAATCGAGAGGTGGATTATTTGTTTATATCAAAAGTAAAAGTCGACAATTAAATAGAAGATAGATAAATATTTCTAGAATTATTGCAGATGATAAATGAATTTTTTGCATTTAATTAGGTTACTGTAAAAACTTTTTTATTGTCCGAAGCTTCCACAATTTCAAACAATTTTGAATATGTTAATATTTAAAGAAACAGAAAATAAAACAATCGTTTGAATTGATTTTAGTTATTTCTTTTCTCTACGTTATCGATAATGGAAGATTCTCTCCAGCTCCAGCATTACGGCAATGATATGTGGTACTCCCTTCGTCTAATAAAAATATATTTTATTTATGTTTTGTATATCTAAAGTTATATGTCACTTTTTTTCTTTTTTATATTGAAAGTATATACTATTTCTGTCCCATAAAGATATGATTTTTTTTATTTTCATACCGATTAAGAAAATGTAATTAATATGATTGAAAATATAAATTTATCTTTATATTTTTCCTGACATATCCTTACATTAAATAATAGTTTAAAGAGTAATTATATTCTCACAACAAATTTATATATATACGCCATATTTTAATTACAAGAAATGTTTTCAATATTTGCTTTATTTTGCTTTTATGTCCTAAAAATTTTTCTCGTCGCATTGTCATTCTTAACATTCAAGTAATTAACATATTTTGTCTCTAATCATGATTTTCATCATAATATTGTACTAGCGTGCATTCAAAAGATGGACAAATATTTTGTATTACTTTTGTATTTGTTAGTTATTTTGACTATTAAAAAAATACAAGAGATAAATATATCTTTTTGGCCGGCATAACAAATATTTTGGACAAAAAGTTCTTTATAGACAAGATGTAAAAACTAACGGAGGGTTGATAGTAAAAAATTAAAAAAAAAAAAAAAGTAATAGCAACTAACATTTGGCTGGAATTAAAATAACTTTTAAAAAACAATTCATGT